AGCTTCTATCATCTACCAAGAGGCCCACATCAAGCAGTTGAGCTCATCCAAGTAGGATGCCCAGCATAAGGGTTTTCCTCAAACGCCAGGTGCCTACACTGGACTTTTTCTAACTCATATGGCAGGTGTCCTTCTCCCTGAGAAAGTGCCACAGGTGCACACTGATACTTCAGTTCTTGTTTTTGTGATTTAAACGCATACATGAGAAGATTTGTGAGGGGCTAGTTGGAAAGACGCTCATCCAACTAATTGGATGTAGCAGCAGATACATTCTCAGCAATGAACAGGTCTAACTAGAGCAGAGGTTGGCGGGGCAGCATTGTACTGCGGCTTGCTGTGCCTCTCACGCCAGACACTGAGCTTTTGTTGTCTCCAGGGTGGCTCCTGGATGTTAAGTCAGGTACCTGCCTCCATTTAAATTTAGTGCAGCTCAAGGTGTGTTCTTGGAGGAATGTAAACATTTGTTTGGTGCGGTTTGTAACATCCCATCCTAATGTTAATATGAGAAGATGGAGAACAATTTTCTCATTTCCCAAAGCTGGCTATAAAATATGTGGATAATGGAAGTCTATCATTTCTTTTCTTTGGCTACTACTTACTAATCTTCAGCTTTACATTTCTGTGGGATGGTGGCAGATCCTCCATGAGCTACTTGTGTTGGGGACTAGCAAGTCTTTGCAGGACCCTTTGAGCTATTACAAGTGTTTTTCACTCTCTAGGAGTTTCTGGCCCATATTGGGAGGGCGTGGTGGGAGGGAGAGCTAATTAACGTAAGGGCATTAGCTAGGGAGTCAGAAGACCTGAGTTCTGGGATCAACTTTGCCACTTTGCTTGACTATGCTACACTTGACAAGCTCCTCTTCTTCTTTGGTCCTCAGTTGCCTCATCTGTACAATGGGTATATTGGCCTCGATTATTATCAGACCATCTTTCAGATCTGTTATCCCAGATTCTTCTGTCCTCTCTCCTTTTGTCATCTTCTCACAGGATTCTGACTTGGTGAACATTCAACCAGCCTTAGATGCTGACCATTCCTTTGAGGTCTAGTCCTGAGGAGATGTCTAGTCCTTCTTTTTCTCAAAGGTTCTTTGTAGATTTCATCTCCTCTGTGCTTTGGGGACAATCCTCTCATTTATTTATTCCTTAAATTTCAGTTGTTCTACTGCTGTCATCACAGCTGTCTTCCGACCAGCATCCTCCCCGGGCCATCAGTGCTGCTGTTTCCACAGACCAGTCCTGTTTCATCCTCACCGCAGCCTTCAGCATCAGGGATAAACCCCTCAGACATAGTTCCTGTAGAGGCACGACTGCACGAAGGACCAGAGGCCAGAGGAACATGGCCCTTTAAAAAAGTCTTATCCTAATGAATTGCAACATTCCTAGTAAGCATCTTCCCCTTTTCAGCAGGGGCATTTACAACTTGGCGTCTTATTTCATTATTACATAAAAGGGTAACGGTCTGGACAGATGCCCGCCTGACAGTACAGGTGGTGCTGGACACTGTCAGCCTCCCTGAATAGAAAGGCGGGTCCTCCTGCCTTAGCCTGAAAGGTGACAGCTGGGTCAGTCTTTTCACTTTGGCACGAAGGGGTCACTTTGTGCCGGAGCTGCTGCTTCTTTCCTTCCTGATCAGTTAACCCCATTGGGTGAAGTCCCTCTCAAAAAAGGTGTTAGCACTTTTAGCAAACCCTTCCTGAAAGGTGCTTTACAAATGAGGAGTTATAAAAATTAGTAAAGCATCTCAAATTAGTGCACCTTGGGGCTGCTCATGACCTTTCCTGGGTCACGCCCTGCCAATCCCCAGAGAACAGGGAAAGTGCTCAGGTTTATCAAGGGGCCTTTTGAGGCAAGCCCAGGGCTCTACCCAAATGAAGGAGCCGTGTCTCTTCAGGAGACTTGTGATGTCCCTGAGCTCTGCCTTCCTAGCACATTTGCTTTCTCAAGGAGCATTCTCTCTGGCAAGGGCCATGAGACAGGTCCTCAGGCAGCAGAGCCTGTGGGCTGCTCCTTGCAGAATAGGTAGGATTTGGATGACTCGGAGACATCAAGGCAACACATAGCGCACGTAGGCTTTCAAGGAAGAATGACTGATTGAGTGAATGAATGGCCTCTCTACTGTTAGCAGTTTAATTCCAGCGATATTAGCATTTCATGTAGAGTGCTTCCCTTAAACTCCACATTTGGCCAGCTGGTTGCTCTGCTTTTTGTCTATCAAGGGCTTGGCACTTCTGCTTGTTCCTGGGGTCCCTGTGTGCATAGCACTGGAGGCAGAATCTGCCGCCTTGGAGCTGCTCTCAGGGTCTGTGGAAAGAGTGCTGGGCGTTCACGTCAAGCAGACTTGGGCTCAGATGCCAGCTCCAGCACGTATTCCTCGTGGTCCTTGGGCTGTTGTTTTTTTTTTTTTACTTTTCTAAGCCTCTCTTTCTTCATCTGAACATGTTGGGTGGTTATGAGAAATAAACTATTGCTTGTGCAACAGTGAACACTTAAAAACCACTCGAAGGAAGGGCGCCTCTATGTGGCTGTGATTGATGTTATTGAAGTACTCCCTGGGGCCCTGAGAGTAAGGTTCACCCTTCTCTCGTACTCCTGAAAGTGCCACAAAGTTACCACCAAACATTCTTGAGGCCTTCCCATGTCTAGGCCAAATGCCCTGTGTCCAGCCACCCCCGACACCCACCGGCTTCATCAACAGAACCTGTGATGATGTGGTTTCTCTGCTTGGGGCAGTGGTGCCATTCTGTCCCTGTCCTGGAAAGTCCCTGCTCTACCTTGTGTGAGGGTTGTGTGTGGGAGATGGGGGCGCGGGAGATGGACCAAAAGAAGGAAGAGAAATGGCTGGAAGGGGTGGGTGCTGTGGGGCCTCCCCATTAAGACTTCTTGATGGCCCTGGCTGGTGTAGCTCAGTGGATTGAGCATGGGCCTGGGAACCAAGCAACCATGGTTCGATTCCCAGTCAGGGCACATGCCTGGGTTGCAGGCCAGTTCCCAGCAGGGGACACACAAGAGGCAACCATACATTGATATTTCTCTCCCTCTCTCCTTCCCTTCCCCTCTAAAGATAAATAAATAAAATCTTAAAAGAAAAAAAAGACTTCTTGATGGCTGTGACTCTGATTCCTGGTCAGTCATTCCCTCTCGGCACACAGTGTTCTTCCCTAAGGTCACCCTCGAATTCCTTTCCTGTATTCCTAGAGCCACGTCTGAAAGCAGCATCCTGGAGGCCCCGCCCTGTGGCCTCTTTCTAGTCTCCACCCCGGGTTTAGGGCAGCTTTCCAGGTGACAGCAGAGTCGCCACAAGGGGCCCCAGGACCGGCACCTTTCCTGGTGTCTGGGAGCAGGAGGGGAAGCAGCATTCCCACTCACTGTTCTGCAGGGGGGTGGGCAGCACGAAGCCAGGCAGGCGGCAGGGCCCACAGCGGCCTGGGGGGCTGCTTTCCTGCTGCCCTCCCCCCAAGGGCCAGAAAAGCCGTCTCTGGTGCCCTCTTCCTCTCCTCTGGCTGGACAGCTGGGTTCTTACCTGCTGTAACTTGTTTTTTTCCCTTCAGGAAACTCGAGTAGGATGTCGGCTAATGTTTTGTTTCTGTGTCACAAAGGAAGATAGAACAAGGAACAAATGAATCAGTTTTTCTTAAATCGTAAACTGATTTCTTCATAAACTAATTCAGAGAATGGCAATTAAATTCTATAAACATTCCTCAGTGTTTGGGTGCCACGCCCTGCATGATGGATGGATAGAGGCTGAGATGCCACTGAGAGGGCCCCTGTCTGCAGAGGCCCCTGTCTGCAGAGGGCTTCCAGGGGTAGCCTGTCCTCAGGCAGCAGCTGGGCTCTGTCCCATGGGCAGGACAGACACAGAAAGGCTGGCGAGGAGCCAAGCCCAGAGCCCCGACGCTTCTACTGGTGTTGGTGTTGCACCACCTCTCCTGCCTACCCACACATCAAGGTCCAGCCCGTGCCACCCTCTTCCGTTAAGTCTTCCTAGGCTGCCTCAGGCCTCAGCAAGTCTCCTACACTCCAAGCCCTAGGTCCCTGTAGGCTCCACTGCCTTGTATAGATGACACGAAACAACTAAGATTTGGAGAAGTCAAAGAATTTTCCCTGGGCTGCAGAATTCATCAGCAGCTGAACTGGAACTTGCACTCATGTGGTCTGATTTCCCTCCAGGCCTTCTCCTTACACCAAGTACTTATGATCTCTCTTCATCATTTACCTCCAAGCAACCCCTCTGTCGAGCTCAAACAGTCCCTCTTCCATTTCATGTCAGCACTAGTTGCCCCCTCTCTGGGTTCAGTCACCTGCATGTCTTTGTTTGAGGGCAGGGTCCCCATCAGCCTGATGTCTTGTCCCCTCCTGGCACCAACAGCATAGGAGCTCAGTCAGGCCCGGTCAGGTGACAGATGAGAGAATGAACTTGGCCAGCACCTTCCTCCTCCCTTCTTCTGAGTCATCTGCAGGCAACAGAAGCAGTCAGCTCTTACATGCTAGGTAATTGAGAGACTCAGTTTGTCTAGCTTGACATGTGTTTAGGTTTCCAGAAGGTACTAATAGAGCTTAAGAAAATAATGGCTTTTACCCCTCTCCTGTGGGTCATATACCACCTGTGCCGCAAAGAACAACACCTGTAGGCTTTCAGTTTTAAGTAGGGTGTTCATAGAATGTGTCAGATACTTTTGAGAGTGAAACCGTGCCCTGTTGACTATTACACCAGGACAGTAGGCCTAAACTGGGGCCTATGGTTGCCTGGATTTAGATAAAATGTGCGTCTGCAGTTGGAAGGAAAGATACAGGACATTTGTTTGTGGAGACATCTAGTCTTGTGGAGGGGTGGCTGGGAGAGCAAGGGCCTTTGTTGCCAGCAGCGACTTTGCATCTTTGGTGGCAGCAGGAATAACCCAGTGCCCTTTTCTGCACCTTCCACTTCATTTTCTATAAATAGCTGAGCCTCCCAGGATGTGTGTCTGTGTCTTATTATTGTGTCTTATTATTCTTTCCTCCAGAGATCCTGCGGATAATTCAGCTGGACCTAGACCTAAAGTACAAGACCAACATCCGGGAATTGTTTGAGGAGTTTGACAATTTCCTGCCCGGCGCCATCATTGGCATCGCAAGAGAGATGCAGCCGGTGTACAGGTAGGTGGCAGCTGTCGGGGGCCTTCCAGGACCCCTCCCCACCTGCTGCTCCCCTCTCTCCTGCCGCTCATGGCCCACTGGGATTCATCAGCATGAAATCCTTCTGCACTTAGTGTCTTCTACTTACAGCTAATAGTATGGACAGGTGGGTTTGCGCCAAAGCTGGAGATGACATCTCGTGCTTCTGAGGGAGTTTGTGATGTTTTTCTTGTGGAAAGCTCAGCTGTATTGGTTGTTGGTTCTGGTTAAGCTCAGAATTTTAAAATTTTGGGCTTTGTCTTACAGGGGAGGCATGAGGATCTAGCTTTAACTTGCCAGTCTGGTGATGAACTAGGCTTTCTTGGCCTCTGAGTCACCGGTGACCACTCCTCTGTATAGCGGGGTGGGTTTACCAGTGTTTTGTAGGAGGAGAGGCAGCACAACTTTGGAACACATGATGGCATAACCTAGTCGAGGTGAAGGAGAGTGTGTTCTGGGCAATGCAGTGTTTCACTGCCAACTGTGCGTCCTGAGAGAAACTCCAGCACCCGAGAACCAGGGGACGTGTTCAGGGACATTCACTGCAGCATTGTCGGTCATGGCCAACAACTGAAAACAACTGAAATGTTCGTAGACAGCAGAATGGATAAATAAAGTATATCTATGCAATTGAATACTAAATATATAAAAGCAAAAGTGAGCAAACACAGTTAATAGTACACTGAGAGACAAAACTACACTGCAGTCTTGAGGTGTGCGTACACAAGTACTGAAAGTTCTAAGGGCAACCAGGAAATGACAATTCCCCAAAGCTGGATGGTTTTTCCCAACAGCCAATGATGGTTACCTCTGGATAGGATGGGGGTGGGGCTTGCCCCTGGAGCACAGCAGTGCTTCAGTTCCCTACCTGGGTAGCCGTGCGTGTGTCTGCATGCGTGCTTTTGTGTTAGTGTGTCTTACAGTGGAAAAAAAGAAGGAAAGTAAGAAGGACCTACAGGTTTTTGTTTACACGCAGGCCTGTGGCCCTGGGTCCAGAGAGTTCTCTGTTGCTGACTGTTCTTCCTCTGGGCAGAGCCATCGCTGACCCAGAGCTGAGCTGCCCAGAGCTGGGATTTCACCGTCCACTGGGCTGGCCTACTCTTTGTTCTCAGTGCAGACCCTCATGCTGGCTCCCTTCAGACATTCTTGGAGCTAGGCCTAGTCTTCGAAGCACTGCCAGGGCACCAGCAACTAGTGACTCAAGAGCAGCAAGCGTTTCTCCTGAGGGGCCGGGGGAGGGGTGCAACAATCTCAACTTGGCTGTGGCTATTTGCAAGACCCAGATCACATAACAGGAAATTCCTGCAAAGCCTCTGAATGAGTCGATAACTCCTGGGCCTTGTGGGCTGATCTCCTGGACAAAATCCTCTCATAAGTTGCTCCAAGGTCACAAAGTAGAGCCTCTTACTCTGCATTAGGGAGTGGACAGAAGAGGGTTTTGGCAAACACTGGCCGTTGACCTCCCAGCAGTCTCCCTGTCTCATTCCCTCACCTCGTACAACAAGGTGGATCTTATGTCTGGGATTCTTGATTTCATGGCAGGAGGTGATGGAAGAAACACTGAACCAGGAGTCCAAAGTCCTCTGTGCTGGTCCCAGCTCTGCCACCAGGCCTGGGGCCCTGGCTCCCCTCCCTGAGAGTGGGAGCAGGTGTGCTCCACGCTCCCTCTCCCAGCTCTGGCAATGGGGGTCCCAGCGCTCCTGGTGCTCACCACTTTCTCATTGTCTTTCCTCTGTCCTGGAGTTGCTTGTCTGCTGATGAGCTTCTCACTGCTCTGTAGGGTCCAGTGTCTTGAGAATATTTAAACCAAGCAAATTATTCAGTTGCAGTTAGAGCAGTGATGCCTTCAAGCCCTAGTTTGAAATCTTCTTATGTAATATAAATGGAAACCTGATCACACGCAATTTAAATTGGCCAGAATTTATGTTTTCTGTAGATCTAGGGTCTTATAAACCGTGAAAATTAAATTGATTCAATTATCTGGCCTTTTCAAAAGCAGTCTCTGAAACATTTTAGATCCAAAATGAAATTGAGGTTTTCTCACCTTCCGAGTCTGTAATTATGATGATGAACAGTGAGAAAGATGAGCCCTCTGCTGCAGGACCGTCATGGCGTTCCAAAAATGCCGTTTGCCAGGCCTGCATGCCCAAAACCAACAGACATGAAAACTCCCTTTATGTTCTTCCCTCTCTCTGTGTCTCCCTCTCCCTGAGCTGAAATGTTTCTAAAGGCCCTTAGTAAGTCTCTAAGTGATGGCCCCAAACTGCTCTGTACCATATTGCTTCTGGGTAATTGCACGGAATATTCTGGGCCTGGGAGGGGTTTGGTGCAGACCGGGGCAGACGGGGAATGGAGTGTGGCTTTTTGCCATCTTCCACAGGAAAACTGGAGACTCCTCTATGACCTGAAAGACCACACGTTAAGTTGTCTGCCACTCTGAGGCCTGTGCCAGGGTATGTGTATTTGTGGGGAGGGGGTGGGAGAAGAAAGGGGGAGATGGAAAGGAGTGAGTGAACAATAGCCAAGCAAGGACAGACAGCACCGGGCCCTTCTCATGAGCCGCAGCCTGTCTCTTTGGACCTGCGGGGAACCTGCTGCGTGCGAGGCTGTCTGCCCACCTCCGCAGGCGCTGGCCGCCCCCTGGGCTCTCCTTTAGGGACCCGCAGCTGCCTGACAACTGTGCGCTCTCCCTAACTGATGGCGTGCAAGGTGGGCAAGTAATTTTTTTTTTCTATCCTAAGGGGAATTTGCTAGCATCTAAGAAAGGAAAGTTTAGAAACAAAACAAAACAGCACGAAAGCAAAACTTCGACAGATTAAATAACTAAGTTCATTTTGAGCTGGAAATTCACCAAGCAGAAATAAATTTGGATCTCCTCAGTTGTGTTATTTTTATAGTCACTTGTCTGACAGTTACTTCACTTCTAAAGGGCACATATTAAGTCATTTTTATGGCTGTTTCCCCTCTATTGTGTGCCATTAACGTTACAAGCTTGGAGGGGCTGGAGGGAGAAAGTATTTCCCCCTGTCTGTTTGACAAGTAGCTTTCTTTACCTTTTTTTTTTATTTGGCCAAATGTGCTCCAAATTGACTGTGCTTTCTGGAAAAGGAAGGCTCATGGGATGCTGGAGTAGTGATAGAGGAACCTTTTCTTGGGTCCCGGTTAAGATTCTGTTGAGTCAAATATCCTGTGACCTTTCTCATCTGAAAATTGGTCATTTTGGGTGAAACATTGCCCTTCCTTTCTCGACTTTTTCTCTTCCTTGTGTCAGGGAAGTAGGGCACAAACAGGTCCTCACTGGTGATACGTTTGGTGGGATAAGCGGCCAAAAGGAGAGAAGGGCCTAATGACTGGCATGGTCTCTGTAAACAGACAACTATATTTTGTAGATGTGTGTTAGTCCAGGGAGCCATTTTGAATCTGCTTCCTTATGAATGTATTAGAAGACAGAAGAAAAACCTCACCTCTTTATGGCCTATAAAAATTACAAAGAATAAAGCGGCTCTATGTAGAATAAATAGCACTCAGGTTGTATGCAGAAACCATGGTCTATAGTCCTGCCTTTCATGAGTTACCCACGTGATGCTTTGCAAGTCACTTGATTCTCTGACCCTCTGTTTTTTAATCTGTAAGTCGGGATAAATATATGCAATGCCCAGAATCACTAGAAAACTCAAATGTGATCACACACATGAAAGTTTCTGGTGTAAAAGAGACCCTTTAGTGAGGAGTCTTTCCTCAGTCCCTCCCCTAATCCTCACAGTTCCTTTTTGTGTCTCCCCCCAACACCCACCATGGTTTGTTCTTCTGGAAACCTCCTATTCTACCCCATTCCCAACCATACAGGGTTACCAGTTACAATACAGGACGCCCAGTTCATTTGAATTTCAGAAAAACAATAACAGTTGTTTTGTATAAGTAGGTCCCAAATAGTGCACGGGAACATACTTATACGAAACAATTATTTGTCGTTTAAATGAAATTTAAATTTAACTGGGTGGTCTGTTTCTGATTTTGCTAAATCTGACAGCCCAGCCCTTATCCAAGAGTTAGAAGTCTTCTCTTCTCAGCGAAGCCAGTGATGTGGCTTTCTCACAAGACCCTCGAGGAAGCAGGAACAGAGGGCGAGGAAGTGGAGCTCGTGAGGGGGAGAGAGCGAGGAGTGGGAGGCAGCCCTCAAAGTCTCTGAGAGATAACGGGCCTGAGGTTCACCACCTTGCAGGAGCGAGAGGCCAGCCTGTGGTTTTGGGGGTGGCCACTGGGGCTAGGAAGCCTGTCATTGGCTTAGATTCAGGCCACAGGGCTCCTGCTGAGCCAAGGTGTGGGAGGGAGGGAGTGGGGGGCACAGAGGGCAGTGGGGGGCAGAGAGAGAAAATGTATAGAGTTTGGCAGAAGTAACTAACGCCTGCTTGAGTGTGGTTGGCAAGGTAATGATATGGGCATAATAATTTATAGTTTTAATTTGAACAATTCACCTAAAATGTCATATGGTGTGCTTGAGTGTGATGTTGTTATGTTACAGAATTACATGTTTATGATTTTTTAATAGAAGGTTTTATAATAAAAAAGAGCCATTATTTGTGCCTGACCTCTGTGTGTGTGTGATCACAAGAGAATGTGTGTGAGAGTGTGTGCGTGTTGAGGAGCTGGGGTCACAGCCCTTGGTTTTGGTCACTCTCTCAGAGCTGGCCACCTGAGGAGCTGCAGAATGGGAGCGTTGTGGGTGGGGGCCGTGGGCTTCCGGTTCATTCTGTGTCGGCTCCGCAGGCCAGCTGTGTGCTGGTCTGCGCTCAAACCCATCCTGAGGGGGAAGCAGCAGGCTAATCCTGTCAGCTGCTGATAACATACCACTAGGCAGGAATTTGCTTTTGTGTGAGGTATTTTAATAGTGTCTACTCTTTCACCTTTTAGGTCACATGGTTTTTATTGGCAGCGTTTTTTGCCAGCCTAGCCTCCTTCCAGATCCTTGGAAGGAAAATGTC